TTCGTGTACCTTCTCTGCTACAGTTGATAACCACAAGTAAGATACACTGGAGGCCTCTTGAGTAATATGCCTTAGTAGCTCTGTTGAGAAAAGTGCAGCGTTCATTACCTTCCTCGTCCAAATTTGTTGAACTGAACAAAACAAAATTCTTTTTTGACAGCTCAGGCTCCAGGCTTTGAAATGTTTGGTAGGTCGGATAATGTGTAGTTCAAAACCAACAGTACTTCCCAATGTTCCTGTGGCGTAAGATTTCTAGTATTGAAGTCAGTAGTAAAAGCTGTGACTAGTTATCTAAAGAAGCTTTATTTCGTAAAATAGGTAAGTTAAATTTTCAGAAACCGGTGGGATTGGGTTTTATTATTCGTGAGGTCAGAAGAAAGTGGCTATCGTCAAGCAAAAAAGCGTTTAAATACTTTCACGGTCAGGACTTTAGGAAGAGAGCATAAGAAATTTAACTTGAGTTAAGGATCTCAAAAGTTGGCGATTGAAACCATTAATTAATTGGCTTTTTATCAAAAATTAGTATTTTTAAATTTCAACTTTGAAATTGGCATTTCTGCCTTTTGCAAACGTAGTGTAAATTTACAGTTGCAGGATAAATGAGCGGTAAGGCTCTAACGGAAGATGGGTTGGATAACCCTGTTGAGAATACGGCCTCTTCTGCTTCAGGGGACGATGAGGAGATGTTGCTGGAACCAAGATTCAAGTATACCAGGATTCTTAATAACATGCCATCGGTTAGATTTCTTCAGCGTTTCAGAACACGTTTGCGTGTCGTATTTCCTTTTGAAAGCTTCATTTTGAAAAGCGAATCAATTGCCCTATTGCATCTTTTTTGGGACAGAAGAATTACCCTTTAATTTATTTTTTTAGCCGTTTCGTAAACTTTATTTATAATTCATCCTCGTTGAAAGTAATCTTATTTGCAAATTCAAATTCTGTAATTTGTTTCAGATTTTAGCGAAAGATTCGGCTAGTAGCATAGCAGTACATGATAAATTCATTGCAATTGGTTCTCAAAATGGTTATGTATATATAATTGATCACTTAGGAAATTTGCATCCTGAAAATGTGAGTGTTTTGGAACATATTGTTGCTTAGTTAAAGGAAAATCTCTGGTTTTTTCTTGGCTGCAAATGAAATTTTTTCTTCAGCTTTTCCCAGCTTTTATTGTGAATTTTTAAACTGATTTTGGGAACTCTGAATAGCAAGAATTTAGTTGAAAAATTTGTTTTTTCCATTTGACAGTAAAATGTTTTTGGTTATGAAGACGGCACGGCATCACCGTTGCGCAGTGACATGTGTGGTTGTTGACTTGTCTGGAAACTACATGATTAGCTGTGCATCAGATGCCCGGATTTGCATATGCAGTATTGGCTCGACAGAATTAAAGCAGGTTGTACTTGTTAACTTCAACACCTTTGTTTTTTTTGTCATGAACTATCGCTCATCGTATGAGTAATGACGGCTTTGGTTTTTATGACTTCGCAGACTCTGGATCTGAAGTTCGTCACAAAGTGCGTTGCGATCTCTCCGGATTTTGGGAGACGAAACTCTGGTCAGCCGTTCATTACGGGAGATAGGGATCTTGTTTTATATGAAAAGAAACTATTTTTGAATTATCGGAGTAGTGTAAGCTTAATTACGTTTTAAATGTTTTGCTTTATTTCAAAAAGTATAAAATAGTTGAACACCGCCGTGTTCGTGAACATTACGTTTAAAGTTTATATGTGTTTTTTGGTCGTTTAGACACTCTATCAGGGGATGGACCGTGATGGATATATTTTACAAATTTCGTGGCATGGGCCTTATGTATTGTTCACTAATAATACTGGAAGTAGGGTTTATGACAGGTGTGAATCAGTTCATTAAACAAGCACTTAATTATTTATAAATTATTTTTGAATTTTTTGTTTATAAAATGGTCATTTTTGGGGAGATCAAGACTGTTGTGAAAATTGTTTGGCAATCATTTCATATGTTATAGATTCCTTGTTATTTCTTCAAGTTTTAAAATGCTAGTTTTTATTGATCCCAAATTTCAGGAGCCTAGACAGAATTATTGCATTAATTCAGCCTTCTCAAGACGAAATTACAAACCATGCTTGGAAAGGTTCACCTTCCCACTGTTGGCTAAATGATGCTAAATTTGCTGTTGCATGGAATAACAGCATTCGTGTTTGTGCAGTCATTGAGGCTTCGGATTTTCAGAGGGTAGTAGCACTTTAAAAATTCTTTTTGGTCATAATTGCACTTGAAGCGTCTTTTCATCTTTCAGGAAAAATTAGTGCAAAGATTTCTCGAATTCTTGTAAACCGTTTAGTTTAGATGCACCAGTAATGTTTGCATGTTATACTAAGAATTTTTAATTTTTTTCATTTGCCAGACAATTAAGCACAATTGAATACTTCTATTTGGCATTCTTCGGAAGTCCTTACTCTCTAAATTTCAAATTATTTTAGTATTAGTATTCAGGTCATGTCTGATGTTTGATCAGTGACTGCCGAAGAAGTAAAAAGTTTATTTTGTAAGCTTGTCGAAAATATGTTCTAGATCATTTTAAAGTATGACAAGTATTCGTCAAAAAGTTTTATCTTCATTTAAATTAATGTTGGCAAATCTTAGGTGGACAAATCTGTTCCGGAAAAAAAGGTGGAAGTCCATTACTCATGGAAGCTTGATATGTACATAGCTGACATATCATACACTCTTAAAGATTCTTCACTAGAGAATTGGGCTGAAATAGTTGTGTTTGGTCTAAAAAAACCGCTCTCGGAAAAGGTTGTTTCTGAGCTGTTTGAGAAACAAATTTTTTTGCGGCTATCACTTGATGGTTTTTTCATTTGTGTTAGTAAAACAGCCTTGGAAGTTTTACCGTTTAAGTTTTATTTTTGGGAAGTTTTAAGAAAGCTTATCAAAAGCGCTAGATCTCATAAGATAATTCTACTTTGGAATTATTAAGAGGTTGCAGAGACCGAATGATGAAATGGATGTAGTTTTGTCACTATTGGAGCCTGAGGACCTTGACAGCTACATTTTGACTGCAGAAGATCGTCTTGAAATGCGTAACTGTGGTTCTTCGGCTTTACGAGATTTTCATATGGCTGCTTTGCCGTACGAGTCGCTCTACTTTTTGTTGGCTCCAAAGGATTTCATCGAAGTAGACTTTGTTTTTCTCTAAGCTGCTTTTTGTAGAGCTTTAAACAGTATAGAAAATTTCTGTATTATCGGATCCTAGGCGAGGCCCTGCTCCGCTGACGATCGGGTTCGATGGTACGTGGACAATGGGATGCTTCGTGAGGCAATGCATTACGCTAACGAGCATGAAAATCAGCTTGTTGAAATATCTGCGGTTGACATTGGTAAGGAATATGTGAACACGTTGATTGAACAAGGGAAATTTAGTCAGGCTGCGGCATGTCTCAAAATAGTAAGTTTTCCACTTTAAGTTGTTTCTTTTTCAGTTTTAAAAATAGTTACAGATATTTACTCAAGGTGTGTGGTAGAAAGAAAGATCGATGGGAGTATTATGTAAACGAATTTGAGCAACATAACGTGGTTCTACAACTAGCCAAATATATTCCAACTAAAGATCCTCAACTGGAGCCAGAATCGTACCAGAGTATTTTAGTTGCAGCGCTTTACAATCATCCTGTTCTGTTTTATAGGCTTATAAAAGTATGGAATCCTGATATCTACCGGGTAGGTGAGTATTTAAACCGGTTTCTTCCAACGGCTTTAAAAATTTTCAAAATTATTTATAAAGTCGCTGTTTTTTTTTTCTTTTTAAGGAAAGTTATTTGTTTGGAACGACCGCTGTTTTTTGGATGCTTGTTGTGCTTAAAGAAGAGCTTGCTTCTGAATCTTGTGTCTGGGCACTGCTTAGTTTTTGTATCTGAATGTTTAGGCGCTATTACTGACATGGCAATGAAGCGTGTTATTAATGACCACCTCAGTGAAAAGGATGCAATTTCAATTTACCGCTCTCTCGCGAGTTTATATACGTATGAAAGGAAGTACGAACAGGCGCTCAAACTGTATTTATCAATGAATGATAAAAGTGTTTTTTCACTTATTGAGCGATATCATCTGATAGAAATGGTAAAAAGTTTATAGCATCAAACCTAAATTTCTATTTTTGTCGATATACGTGTGTTAAGCTATTAAGAAGGTTTTAGGTAAAATATGATGTTGCAAAGTTGATGCAAATTGATTCTTCTTTGGCGTTACGGCTTCTTATTGACAACCATGGATGTCTGCGAGCGAAGGACGTAATTTCTCAGCTAGCCCAATTTCCTGAGCTGCAGGTACTTGTAGAATTGGCAAGGTCCATTTTTTTTTTTGTGGTGGTAGTGATGGCGACTGAGAAGTACGTTTTAAGTTTTTTTTTTTTGACGACTTGCTTTGAAGTAGTGCAGATGCCATTATATTAATAAATTTAGTTAGCATATCTTAATATGCTTTACGAAAGAAATGAAGAGGAGGAATTTGCTGATTTAGCCGTGGAATTGTATGCTAAGCATGAACCAGAGAAACTTTTGCCGTTTCTTAGGAAAAGCGAATCTTACGACATTGCCAAAGCACTGGATGTTTGCGAAAAAAATGAATTAATAAATGAGGTTAGCGGATTTTGAGTATTTTTCGTTTGAATAAGTGTGCAGTTCTCTAGCTCTACCGTCACTTTTAAAATATTTAGTAGACGATTGACAGTAGCAACGTTTTCAGCAGTTTTTGAAGGGCTTTTTCAGATATTCACCAGCAGAGATTTTCTCCTCTCTAATATAATTTGATTTAGATGGTGTTTCTGCTGGGTAGAAGCGGTAACTTGATTCGCGCTTTAAATCTGCTTATCAAAAAATTAAATAGGATAGATTTAGCCATAGATTTTTGTCTTGAAACGGATGATGGCGACTTATGGGAGGCTTTGATAGACAGTTCAATGAGTGAACCAGAGAGTATAACAAAGTTGCTGAATATTGCTGGTAACTACATCGATCCTCTTAATATAATTGAAAAGGCACGCATTGTTTCCGTTTTTTGTCTTTAAAGTTCTTTGTACCGTTCAGGTAGTGTTATTAGTGTCAGTTCA